AAGCGCACAGAGAAGATATCTCTTTTAGCTTCATGTCGCTTGCTGTCAAAAGCAAACGTTAGTTCTTTCTCCAGAAATCCACATGTAAAAGCTGCGAAAAAATGTGGTACTTTTGACTAGGCAAGAAAAGCTCCGGTATTCATCAGACCAATTAAGACGTGAGGGGCCTTTTTTTTGGGAAGTGAGCGAAACAGCTAGGTAGTATTCTTACTCCTGCGACATCATTTAGTTTTCTCTTCTCTTTTATCACATATTCCTTTTCAGAGGTCTACGTGTACGGAACCATTGAGGGAACTGTCGAATGCTGGTGCATCTGGATCAATTTTCTATGTTTCACAAGATGATCAATTTATTATCAAAACAGTACAGCACAAAGAGGCTGAATTCCTGCAAAAATTATTGCCCGGGTATTATATGGTGAGTTTTTTGTTGTTAGAGTTTTGATATTGTATATTTTCATATAACATTTTCACAGAATCTCCAACAGAATCCAAAGACGTTGTTGCCAAAGTTTTTCGGGTTGTTTTGTTACCAGGTTGGTCTTTTTTCTTCTTATTCTGTATCTTCTCTTTTTCAAGTGTTATTTGAATGCACTATTCACTGTTCAGAGTTTGGGAAAGAATATTCGCTTATTAGTAATGAATAATTTGCTACCACAAAATGTAACTATGCACGAGAAATATGATCTCAAAGGATCAACCTACAAACGTTTAGCATCCAAATCTGAACGGGCAAAGGTAACTTGACGTCTTCTGAAGGTGTCACTTTTGCGAAAGCTCACGATAATTTTATTTACTTTAGGCCTCTCCAACTTTGAAAGATCTTGATTTCATTGAAAATCACCCCAACGAAGGTCTTTCTATGGACCCTATTTCATATGATAGTCTTATACGAACGATTAGCCGAGACTGTTTGGTAAGCCGGCTTGTTGTGTTTCTCCGTTTTAGAGGATACCTTCTTGATTGTTCTATTTTTATATAAAATGTTCTAGGTCTTAGAAAGTTTTAAAATCATGGACTACTCTTTGCTAGTGGGTATTCACAATATGGAGTTGACATCAACTGGGGATCGAAATCGCGCTCAACCAATCCGACAGGAAAGTGAGGATGAGCTGGAGCAAGCCGACGACTTGCCAAGCACGAGTAGGGGCGAGACTGAAACACGAAGAAGGGTATGTGCGAAGGCTTTTCTTGAATGAGTTTAGTATGGATCGGGCTTTTTGGTAGCGGTCATCATACTCGTTACGCTATGATTGTATGTCCCTTCACAAGAACAGCCTCTACCTACAATAGTTTTTCTGGTGAGTTTATTCAATCCATTTGCTGTCGGCTGTAGATTCGTATATTCCAGCGTTTCCGAGTTTCCGCGCAGGGGTAGCTCGGCTTGATTAATCTTTGAGAAAGTCTGATAATTACTCCTCACTAGATTCACGTAGATAAGTAGCACTGAATTTCGAAGCTCACTAACACTTCTTGCATTAGAGGAAAAGTGATGGCATAGCGATTTTCTCAGTTCTGCCACCATTTACTACAATTTACAGCTTTTTTGAAGAGCTGGTAACTCTTGAAGTTGCCTAAATGTTTTGTTGCAGTTATCCTAGATATTTGACCGATACCCGAAATTCATGCATTTAGCCACTGCAATCGAAATTCTCTGTGTGGGACCAGTCTGAGTTTGAAGGCTCTGTTCCACCTGGTGGCGTTCCGGCACGAAATTCAAATGGTGACAGGTTAATTTTATTTCTTGGTGAGTTCCGAGTTTCATTGTTCTGTGTTCCCGTATCCACAGCTTATGTGATAGATGCGTTGAGGAATATAATATGTACGATTGTACTCATTCAGGTATTATTGACATTTTTGCAAAACTATCGGTTGTTGAAGAAGATGGAGCACACATGGAAGGCGATTTTGCATGACGGGGTTTGCAGATTTCATAGCTTTGATTTCCTTGTTCAGTACATGCGACTGAAGTTTTTTGGTCCTTCAACTTGTTTGCGACTTCAACGAAGTCATCGTCATTATTTATCCTCATTTTTGATGTCCTATCTACCGCTTCCTCGATCAGGTCCCAATGTTCTTTACTTTGTGAAAAAATGATTGTTTAGGATTCCATTTCCGTCCACAATCCCAACTTCTACGCTCAACGATTTTTGTCATTCATGACAGAGCACGTCTTCAAGAAGGGTCCAGGTATAGTGTTTGCACTACGCATGAGGTTATGACCAAATTTATGTTAGCTCTTCGCAATTCATTTTTCGTTTCCACCTTTGTTGGTCTTTTATGAGGTTACGTTTACCAGCTTGTGGAATCAGTCATAGAGGAAGAAAGCATTGATTCTTGCTTGCATTACATCCATGTCGGTGTATTATGGTTTTAATTTTGAACTGACAGATGATGGGTATTCTGTGTTTTTAACATTTTTTTTGAAACGTCTTTCCCAAATATCTCTGGAAAACTGGGATCGTTAATATTTGAAGTGGTTCTCAAGATGTTGTTCCGTTACAGCCGATCCACGGAGGGCGAACGGAAAATTCCGTACTCTGGTCCACTCCTATCTCGGTATATATTGCAATTTTAGCCTTTTCGGTTTAAGCTGAATGTAGGAAGTGATTTGACGCTAAATTTGCGCAAAAATTGGTTCATGGGTAGTTTTAGCAAATACACTCTGACAGTTGCTTATCACACTCTGATTTTTCAGTACTCTAACTTAGATAATTTTCATAGTTCGGCAGTGCAGTTGTTTACGGCGTGTCGGAAAACGAAGAATGGTGATGTGTGATTTCGATTAAGCTAGGAACTAGATTCACGCGTACTTAAAGAAAAATTATCGCGTCAAAGCATAATGTCACTCTGAAGTTGTTACGGAATTTCTCTTCTATTCCCTATTAAGCTACGATTTGCGTATTACAGAGGTAGGGAAATCCTACACTTATATAACAACATTAGTAGTTGACTATTTATAGCCAGTTACCTAGAAATAATAGCTTTTGTCTTGGGCGGCACCAGCATGAAAATATCTTGTTAGAGAAAGCTGTAATTTATTCTTTTCTATCACTCTTCTGTTTTTGGTACCGTCCATTCCATTTCCTCGATGTTCCTCCCTAATTTTACTGTCCCATGCCATCACTTTTCGTTCACTGGGTGTGCAAATTTTGTCAGAGCGAATCCGGTCGAGCTCAACTATGAGTAGCAGGTGGGTGGTACCCACGAAGCATATCTCTATTCGCGAGCATAAGTCTTTGGGCCTCGCTGGAACCAAGACTTCAAATAAGTTGAAGTTACATCTGATGCGTCAAAAAAGTGGAATCAGGGGTCACTGGAGCATTTCGAATTCTCCAATGTTGCTTGGATTAACTCCTCGATGTATTCCATCAAAAACAGCAGAGGCGATCGCAAAATATCGAATG